AATGGAAATAAAGTCTTTGTAAATAGGGAAGGGTGGAGGGGGTGAAGGGAGGGCTAGGAATGGGGAAAAAATATGAACCAAGATGCATCATGTAAAGGTACAATTCCCAATGAGAAATGTAATTGTTGTATACCTAAAATGTACCAAGGAAAGAATTTAATTAAAACAATATCTATTGTAATTCTTGCTTCCAGATGTATTAGACTCCCTCATTTGCATTCCTCAAGGCTGATGATTCTTCCACAGACTTCTTTTAGTAGATTTTTTATTTTTTTGGTACTGGGGATCGAACTCGGGACCTTGCACTTGCTAGGCGGGCGGCAGAACCACTGAGCATCCCTGGCTGTAGTAGATATCTTTGACTGACTACTGTTATGGTTTGGATTTTCAATGTCCCCTGGTGGCTCTTGTGCTAAAGGCTTGGTCTGTGGTGCTGTAGGAAGATGGGGTCTAGTGGGAGGAAGTTAAGTCACTAGAGGTTTGCCCTTGAAGGGGATCTTGGGACCTTGACCCCTTCTTCTGTTTCTTATTTGCCTTAATGTGAGCAGCTCTGCTCTACAGTGTGCTCCCAACATGATATACTGCTTGCCACAGGCCAAAAACAATGGAGCCAAATAACTACAGACTGAAACCCCTGAAACTGTGAGCCAAAACCTATTTCCTCTTTTTCAGTTGTTTATCTCAGGTAGTTTTTCACAGCAACAGAAATCTGACACAATTACCCATGCCTAACAGTATCTAGTTCTTATATAGATATGTGTTTTTCCTTCTGTATCACCTGTATGTTCCTGAAGGAAGCTGAACCTACCCTGTTTCAGAAGTGGGCCTAATTTGTTAAAAGATAACCAATCATTGGTTCTCTTGTCAGTGATTCATTAAAGAACTCAGCCTAAGCCCATCCACCCATGGCACTTTCCTGTGGCCATGCAATCCAGAGGAAGGCAAGTGGAAAAATTGTGTGTGTGTTTTGGTTTAGATCTGTAGTGTCCTGCAAAAAGTCTCGTATATTTAGAAGTGGGGCTTTTGCAAGAGGATTGGATCATGGGGCACTATAATCATGAGTGGACTGATTCATTGGTAAGGTCATGACTAAATGTACTGTTAGGAGATGGGGCCTGGTTGGAAAAGATAGGTGACTGGGGTCATGCCTTTGGAGGGCTTATCTTCCTCCCTGGCATCTCCCTTCCCTCTTTGCTTCCTGGCTGCCATGAGGTGAGAAGGTTTCTTCCGCCATGTCCTTCCATCGTGTTTCTGCCTTAGAGCCAGCAGACCTTGGACTGAGTCCCCTGAACCATAAAGCACATTAAACATCTTTTCCTTTAAGTTGTAGGTGTTAGGTATTGTGTTCAGCAACATGAAAGTAGATTAATACTGGGTGCTTCTGGGGAACAAATGCTCTAAAATTTTAAGATGGCCTTTTCTTTCTTCTAGCTCATTTGCAGAAATGTGAGGCCTGTCATTGCTGTAGCTACTCCCAGCCTGAAAATGAAGCGACACCTGTGTGCATGTGCTGGGGTGGTGGGGTGAGAACCAAAGGGACCAGATTTGGAGTTGTGACTGACTCATACTTTAAAATCCCATTATCAACAGTCTTTTAAGATTTATTTTTGAATTGGGTTTCTGGTTGCTAGGGAATATGAATTGGATTTTCTGTTTGGTTAGGGTGAAGGCTTTCTAAGTGGCACCTCCTTAATGGATTTTTCTCTGGGCAAGTGTAGTGGCCCTGAAAGCCACAGTGATTCCCACTAGGTTCCCAATGGAGCCCCGGCTTTTCTCTTGTGTTAACAGAGGAACCAGGCTCCATGGCTGTGTATTGTAGAAGTCAGGCACCAACTTAACATCAGAAGATTTCTCAAAACAGTTGCCTCTCCACTTCTGTATTTCTGGGTACTCAGGCCTCAGGTTCCTTCAGGCCCGTCACTATCTTCTGCAGCTGTTTTCAAGTGACCGACACAGGTTTGATGAGGAGAGGAAGAGGAACAGACCTCACCAGGATCAACGGAGTGCTAGGACTACAATCAGACTACAATTTGAGAAATCCATGCTTGGGGTGCAGGAGCTAGGCCCGGCTCAGCTACATCGGTGAAACACTAAGAAAGAGTAGAGAAAGAAGATAATTGCTACCCAACAGGAAGAAACAAAGCCTGTAGCCAAGCCTTGGTGATGACTCCTAGGAAAGTACCATAGGATGCCTTGCCTGCCAGCTCACACTACAGCCTGTCACAAAGTGATACCTCGAGCCTAGGCGGTCCTAGACCTGCGGCAGAACTTTCCAGGGCCTCTGGGTCCACCATGCCCAGCCCGGAGTCCGCCCAACTACACGCTTCTGTCGTGTGGGAGGCCAAGGGTGGGAGGCGGCAGATTCTCTGGTTATCCCTTTGCTGTGCTAACAGAAGTAGTTTCTCTGCCCACACCATGAAATAAAAATTTCCGTGACTTGCCTTTTGCTGTGGGGAGCGTACATTCCAGAAAGGAACAGCAGGAAGCTGTGTGGAGGAGGGGAGCTCAAACTCTGAGGCAGAGGGTTTGCTGGGCCAACCTGCTTCCTGGCGGGTCCCGGGGCTGGACCCCTCGCCGACATCCCGCCCCCTGCCTCTCTTCCCTCCCTCCCATCGCCCAGAAGGCCAACTCCTCCCGCCTGAGTCACGGCAGGAGCTGGGGAGGAGCCGGGGAAAGGCGGCCCCAGTTCAGAGAACAGCCAGCAGCCGCTGGGAGAGCAGGCAGGGCTGTCGGGGACCATGGGGGAGAGCGCGCTGGAGCAGGGCCCCACACCCGGGGCGCCTGCCGGGGGCCCCGTGCACGCCGTGACGGTGGTCACCCTGTTGGAGAAGCTGGCCACCATGCTGGAGGCGCTGCGTGAGCGGCAGGGCGGCCTGGCTCGAAGGCAGGGCGGCCTGGCGGGCTCCGTGCTCCGCATCCAGAGCGGCCTGGACGCACTAAGTCGCAGCCACGACACCACCAGCAACGCGCTGGCACAGCTGCTGGCCAAGGCGGAGCGCGTGGGCTCGCACGCGGACGCCGCCCAGGAGCGCGCAGTGAGCCGCGCCGCCCAGGTGCAGCGGCTGGAGGCCAACCACGGGCTGCTGGTGGCGCGCGGGAAGCTGCACGTCCTGCTCTTTAAGGTCAGTGACCTCAGGCGCCCCCTACCCGTAACCCGGGCCTTTTCCTGTCTCAGGCCCACCGCTTGGGGATTCCCCGCTCCCGCCCTCCTCCCATGTCCACACTTCCCTGCCCCACATGCCTGAGCCCCGCCTGGCCAACCCGCGCCCGCCCAGCTCAACTGGAGCCCAGCGGGCCTGGGGAACTTGGTCCAAGTCCCAGCCCATCCCGAAGGAAAATAGCGGTAGTGCATTCCGTGACAGTTCTCTGTGTCCTCTAGTTCCTGCCCACGCGGCCACTGTCGGTGTCTGGAGCCCTAACAGGGCCGCGCCTACTTTCCAAACTCCTGTGGTTCACTTGCAGCACCCCCCCCCCATCTGCCTAAAGGGTGGCGTCCCACCAGGTGCCATTGAGGAGTGAGTCTCAGGCAAGTCTAGGATAAGGGGCTCCCGGGGTCAATGCTGTGTCGTCACATGCAGGAGGAGGCTGAAATTCCAGCCAGCGCCTTCCAGAAGGCGCCTGAACCTTTGGGTCCGGCGGACCAGCCCGAGCTGGGCCCGGAGCAGCCGGAGGCCGAAGTTGGAGAGAGCTCAGACGAGGAGCCAGTGGAGTCTCGGGCCCAGCGGCTGAGGCGCACCGGTTTGCAGAAGGTACAAAATCTGAGAAGGGCTCTTTCCGGACGGAAAGGTCCCACAGCGCCCCCGCCCACGCCTGTCAAGCCGCCTCGCCTAGGCCCTGGCCGGAGCAGAGAGAGCCAGCCGGAAGCCCAGCCTGCGCTGGAGTCGGCGCCCCAGCCAGAGCCTCCGCAGGACCCCGAGGAAGTTCCGGGGAGAACCGAGCCTGCCCAAGAGGCTCCGCTCCAAATAGAGAGTGCAGCCTGATAGTCAGCCCTGCCGCCTCCTATGCCTTGTCCCCAAAATAAATCCTTTTCGGAAGGCAACATTCACGCCCAAATAAGGAGCGAATGCTGCACCCACTGCCCAGCTCTGCCCTCCCTCCTGGCTTTTTCAGAGGGCGTCCTCTGACTAGACAGCAGCTTGCACTACTTGGCATACCATCAATAAAAGTAATTTCGTCTAATGCGGACTCCATGCGAGAGAAGGCTAGGGTGCCGAGGAGGGTGGGATCTTTCCACCTGCTAGCCCCGAATCCCGGGCTGTGCTCCAGGGACAGAGGGAACATCCTGCTGGGCACTTGCTTCTGAAACACCTTCCTTATGGGGGCACTCAGTCACAACATTTTTCTTTTCTTTCATTTTTTTAAAGCGTCCGGTACAGTCCTTTGGTGTAAGTGCACAATAAATGTCCACTAATAGTTTTTCTCTTTTTTTTTTTTTGGTACTGGGGCTGGAACTCGGGACCTTGTGTTTGTGAGGCAGGCGGTGGAACCACTGAGCTAAATCCCAGCCCCGGTAGTTTTTCTCTTAATCTCTTCTTCTACCACCTTTGAAAAATTAGGGTTTCCAAGATTCTTTAATCAGCCCTGTTTTTATTCTTGGTGCTTTTTGGTTGACATCACTCCAGGCTTCTCCTCCCACCCACATACAACCCAGACCACTGTCTCTGACCCCCCCCCCCTTAGGAATTTAACCCAGGGCCTTTGCGCTAAGCTACATCAGCAGCCTTTCTTTCTTTCTTTCTTTCTTTCTTTCTTTCTTTCTTTCTTTCTTTCTTTCTTTCTTTCTGTCTGTCTGTCTGTCTGTCTGTCTGTCTTTCTTTCTTTCTGTCTTTCTTTCTTTCTCTCCCTCTTTCTGTCCCTCTTTCTCT